CTCTCTCTCTCTTTTCTCTGAGCTTTGCAATTGGAAGAACCATCTCATCTCCTGCCCTTTGATCTCACGTTTTCTCCCCTGCCTTGAGTTCCAAAACGACGATGGCGACAACGGACTAGCTGACTAGCTCTCCCAGTTCACTTTCTATACGTTCCCTTGTTCATAGGAGATTACACTTCATTATACTTCTTCTCTTTGTTTTTATTGTTTTCAGCCAGCCAGCCAGCCAGCTAGAGCTTCCATTTTGCAGATCAGTACCCAGTAGCCCAGTCAGTGCCTTGAGTGGTTCTGAGTGCTGGCTGCTGAAACTGAAACTGATCCTGTGTTCTTGTCAATGCCTGTTTGCTTGCATGCATGCAACTTAGTCAGTCGGGTGCTAATGATGATGATGAGTAGTAGTATAGGGTGATCCAGCAGCCCTTCACGCGCCTTTCCTTTCCTTTTCTCTTCTCTTTTTCTTTTTCTCCTTTTGGTTGCCATCTTTACTGGCGGCTACGGCCACTGTCGCTTTTGTTTTTAGCCTCCATTGAGCTCTATAGAGCTCTTTTCAGCACGGGCAAATGCTGCTGCTGTACAGTTACAGCGGCAGCAGATTGAACGCAGTAGTTCTGGAACCCTCTAAAGAATTGTACCATATTCGGTGCTCCAGTGCTGGGCTGTTGTCGGCACCAGCAGGCTCTTTTCGTCGCCATTCCTTTTTTTTGTTTTTTTTATTGCAGGGAAGGAAAAAGTTGGCTTTCTCATTTGCACATATGCTCCTGTTGTACAGTTTTAAAGGGTAGACGGCTGCGTTGAGTAATTATTTAGAGCAGTGCACTAGACCAAAGCACTAGAGGCACCAAAGTTTTTGCCGTCAAAGTACACCTCAGCGTCGCTGCTCCAAAGTGGAGCCCAATTGAGCAAAATGGTGTGTCTGTGTTTGCCTCTTTGATTTCATTATAGTTTTCTAGTTTGGAGCACAAATTGGATTTTAAAAGAAGAAGAAATTGTATTTAAATTGACTGCCATCTTGGCATTTTAGCTGCTGCTCTTTCAGACTCATTTTTATTCAGAGCTATTATGCCAAAAAGGCAAAATGCGCTCTTTGGTTATTCAATTCCCAGAACCAAAACTACAGCAGTGTTTCTAGTAAAATGAGGAAAAAGAAACGATAGAAAAAAAAGGAAAAATTGATATTTACACTTAGAACAAAAAATAAAAAATAGATGAGTGAAGAAAACTGTACAAAACTGTTTAAAATAAAAGCCATTACAATGAAGTTCAGGTAAAATGAGAAAAAAAAGAGAGTAATCAATAAAAATTTTTGCAGTTTCAATCAATGCTGCAACTAAAGCAGCTCCTGCAGTGTTTCATAGGTAAGGGGAATAATCTGTGGCTCCAAAGTGGTGGAATCGCCATTCTCCTTAGCACCTTCAACTGCAGTAGTCTCCGAAACAGCAGTGGTAGTTGCAGATTCTGTACACTTTCCCAGCGCCTCAAGAACGTGCGACCGTCGGTAGCTGCGACTGGTCCAGTCAATGTCCTCCTCAGTGACCGCCTGCAGGTCGGTGTTCTCCATCATCGCCAGGTGATCCCAGTCCCAGAGATCTTCGTAGGAGAACTGCCGCTGCTCAAAATGCTCCCAAAAGAGAGAACACAGGTAGGCGTAATCCGGCTCCTGCCTGAAGGCAAGGTTGCGCACGTAGTTGAGGTAGGTAGAGAAGAGGGGCGGCGCCCCCTGTAGCAGCTGCTTCAGCGTTCCCGGGTTGTTCTTTAGGCGGCAGATCTCTCGCCGCTTTGCATCGCTGTTGTAGTACCGCTTGCCCAAACTTTGCCAAGGCAGGCTGCCCTTGAGGAAGTAGAGAAGCGTGTAGCCGAGACTCTCCAGGTCGTCTCGGCGGCTCGGAGCTGCAAGGGGACAAAAAAAGAAGAAAAAGAAAAAGAAGAAGCGGAATGAGAACTCAGAATAACACAGTACAAAAAGTGGTAAAAGCTGAAACCAGGGGTTGTTTGCTTACCAATGCAGCGGAGAGTGTTTCGACTGGCAAAGCGGTCTGTGCCGGCGTAGCTGGTCTTCGCTTGGTCAATGTGCGCCCCCGTGGCTGGGTCCAGGTAGCGACGGGCGAGGTCGAGGTCGATGAGGAAGATGCAGTTGCCCTGGGCGCCACGACCGACGGCAAAGTTGCTCGGCTTGACGTCGCAGTGCACCAGGCCGTGCCGGTGCAGCGATTCGAGGCGGCAAATCTGCAAACAAAATTAAAAAAAAAGTTAAAACTAAAAAATCAAGTTTTTAACCATTTTCTTTTACCATTTGACCAGCAAGGATGAGCACCGTACGGAGGGAAAACTTTCCACTGCAGTCCTGCAGAAGTTCATTGAGGTTCTCGCCGACGCGGTCCATCACCAGGACGTTGTAGTCGCCCTCTTGACCGAACCAGCGCACGCGAGGAATGCCCACTGTGAAGAATTGGGGATGACAAAAAGAATGAATATGATTTATATGATGATCATGATGTTAAAGATAGTTATGATAACAAGCAAATGATACTTACACTCGCCGGCCATCTCTTCGTAGCACTCTCGCTCGTGTTGCAGATGATGTGAACGGCGCTCCTGTGACTCTACTTTGATGGCCACTGCGTCGTTTGTCTTCAGGTCAGTTCCTAGTTAAAGGATACAAAAATTAGAATTAGAGAATTTTGAATATAGAATAGTTAAAAACTCGTCAGTCAGTCAGTTACCTCTAAGGACGCATCCAGTGGAGCCGTTTCCGATTTTCTTGTCCAGCCGAAAACGGCCTCCGTCAACGCGTATTTCTGTTTTCATCTTTAGCATCAGCAGTGTTGCTGCTGTCAGAAGAAGAAGAAGAAGAAGAAGAAGAAGAAGAAGAAGAAGAAGAAGAATAGAGAAAAGTGAGTGCTTTTGTAGAGCAATAGAAGAACACTAAATAAGTTTTTCTGGTTGATTCAAAGAGTTAAAACTTGTAAAAGTAGTTGTGAAGCAGAGTCAGAGACACACAGTGCACAGTGGACAGTGCACAACACCACAAAAGAAGAAGGCAGCAAACGTGTGAAAGAGAGAAAGAGAGAAAGTGACTGTGCCTATGTGCCTGTCTTCTGTTTACACTTGTCACTAGCTACTTACAAACGGCAGCAGCCGCAGCAGTCTGCAGCGGTGGCAGTGGTGGCAGTAGCCAAATGACAGCACATGAAAGTGCTGGTGTGCAGTGCTGCTGCCGCCGCCGCCGTCGTTTCTGCTGCAGGCCACACTCAGACCACCACTTTTGACCCTGATTGGCACTATTCTCGTTTAGTAGTTCAACCCTTAGAAAGAATGTAACACCTCTTGCCTACTTAGTCCGAAGTGGTGTTTGTCACCTGTTATCTGCCTATCAATTCACTGTTTTTCAGTTGTCTAAGCTAAGCTAAGCTAAGCCAAAATGCTGCTGACCAGGACAAGCACTTTTTGCAGGGTTAACGATTTAGTGGCGCACCAGAAACTGCCGCGCCAAAAGTCTGGCGCGTTTTTAAACTTTCAAAAAGGTTTTTCTCAGCCACTGTGTTTCACAGTTGTTTGACCAGTTTTGGTGACTTGCAGTAGACGGTCTACTGAGTAGACTTGCAGTGTCGTCTTAATTTCTTGAAGCTGACTTTGTCAAAATGCCCTAGATAGGCGGAGACTTTGAGGTTTACTGCAGTGGCTACCGCAGTGGCTAAGGGGACAGAGCAGTGCTGTCTTCCTCCTTCCCTCGAGTTTATGGCCCACTGGGACCATCAGCTACTTCTACTCTACTGACTGACCACTGCTATCACTGCTGACCAAGCACATGTTCACTCGCTAACGTTTCTCTTCAGCCTTTCTCCATTTCGTCCATATTTTTCAGTTAGCAACGGTCATTTTGTCCATTTCATCACCACAATCACCATCAGTCTTTACCATTTTTAAATTTCAACAACAACAACAACTTCTCCCAATGATGGATCAGAAAACCTTCCAAGCGGTGATGCTGCAGCGGATTGACCTCCTCACGTCAATGGTGAAGAACAACACCGTTTTAGTGCAGTGGCTCGTTTCAAACGCTAAACTCCTCAATCAACAGCAGGAATTTCGAATGGCCGAAACGCCACCCTTAGATGAAGCACTGGTCCACAATCTGCTGTTGAATTTGCCCGGAGTGACACATCATCATCAACCAACATCTGCAGCAGCAGCAGCTATTACAGCCAATCAAATGGATGAGAAAAGCCTTCAGATGAACAGCATCACCAGGCTTTCTTCAAACTCAGCTACCAACTACCAAGCGAATCCTATCCTTAAAATGGAAATCGACTTTCCAATTAAAACAGAGTCAGATACTCACTCTGATCATTTAAAAGCCATTGAATCAACTGCAGCAACTGCTGACACGGGTTCAATTGTTAAAACTGAGGAGACAACAACAGCAATTGCAGCAGCTGTTCAGGAGCAACAGCAGTACAGCAGCAGCAACTCAAATGAAACAACGGTACCGGCAACTTCCCAATCATTGGCAAACAATTCTGATAAGAAACAGGTGATGGATCAACCAAGCTCGGCCAGTGATGCCCCCTTGCAGTCGGCAGCGGTGGTGGTAGTCTCAGTCCCAAATGACCCGAACAATCAAAAGGTAAACACTTGCGCCAGCATTTATCAATGTGAAAGTTTGTTAACTCCTAATCTGTTTACCACCTGAACAGGAGAGCACTGCGACTAAATCACAGGCGCTTTCTTCACCAGCAAAGCAAAACTCTAGCAGCGGTCAGCCTAAACGATCAACACCCGAAAGTGAATCAGGGGCAGCAGCAGAAACCGCAGCAGTTTCCGTACATGAGACGGCTCATTCAAAGCACACTGGCACGTCGCACAAACGTCTTTGCACTGCTCCGAACACCACAAAGAACAGCAGCCATAGCCCCAACCCCAGCACCGGCTTGAGCCCCAGCAAAAACACCAACACCAGCTCCAATGTTCCAAAGGATGGCTCCAAAGACCACTCCAGCCTCAAAAACAACGATCCAGCAGAGGGGATAGCCGAAACAGAGAAACGAGTTAAACAGGTTCAAGCGTCACCTCAAAAATCACAACCACTCATCACATCACCACCACCACCCACACCAACACCACCTCCTTCATCATTATCATCATCATTTTCATCACCATCACCATCCCCATCCCCATCTCAATCTGCGGCTAAAAAGTCCAAGTTTTTCACCGCCGAAGTGATCCAGGCGGCCACACGTCGCCAGCCATGTGTGATCAAGAACTGTCCCGATCGGATGAGGATGTTTGAGCAGGACGAGCTGAACTTCCACATTCGCCAGGCACACAACGGACGGGACATCATCTGCATGGCAACGCCAATGTGCATGGAAACGTTCAGAAGAGGGTAAAGGAACTTGATTGGAACTTTTTTTGCTTTGTACAATTTAGCCCATTTCTAACCTTTTGATTTTTTCCTCTCCCTCCATTTTTAGCGTGGATCTAACCCGACATCTGAACACCGTTCACGAGGACATCAAGGAGTTTGCCTGTTGTGGCATCGTTTTCAGCGAGTACTCTCGATACTGGACCCACTACGTCACCTGTCACCAGGAGAAGGACTACCAGTGTCCGCGGTGCCCTTTCACGACGAAGCTGCTCAGACTACTGGACCGCCATTGCTTTCTAAACCACGAGAATTTTCGGTCAGGAACACCTGGGTCTGGCAAAAAGGGCATTTTTACCAGCACCGGCAAACCAGTTGAATCCATAAAGGAAGAACAGTAGGTGGTGAAAAGTGCTAAATATGATTCGGTGTGTCGATGGTCATGCTGCTTTCCAAAATTAGAGAAAAACGTAACTTTGCTTTGATAAAAAGTGTCTTTTCGATTTTTTACAAACTTCAACAACTACAATATCCTAAAATTATTGTCCAATAAAACTATTTACAAATTTTTATCTTACTTTCGACTTTTAAAAACTAAAGTGAAATGAATGAAAACGTAAATGAATGTTTATGACCATACAAATAGAATTGTCAGTTGAATAAATCATCATCACTACTACACGATTGTTTTTCAGATTTGTTTGCTTGTTCAAACGCAAGCACAACTTGTTTATTGATGACTAGAAGATAAATAGAACTGTTTATCAGTTAATAAGGCCCAGTTGTTTGTTTACAGGGTAAAGGCTGTCACTTTTGCTAGTCATATTATGAGGTGGTGGTGGTGATGATAATAATAAGACTATTAGAGCAACGTCGCTGATGGTGGTGGTGGTGCTATTTTGCCACTACTGTCTGATTGTGACTGTTGTAAGTGTTTGTCAATGTGTGTATGTGTTGGGGCACTACTAGATCAAAGGGAGTGCCGGGATGCCCACTTTGCAGTGGTGAAGCAGCAGCAGCCAATGTGTGTGTACTGGGATGAACTGGGGAGAGCTCGTACTGTGTAAATCCTCAAAGTAGCTCCCAAGTTGTTGGCACTTTTTTTCAGCAGTTGTTCCAACCGATGAAGTGCAGTGGCGCCCAATTGATGAGGATAAGGCTGAGAGATAGACTGAATAGTACAAGTTAAACCAAATCAAAACGTTTGCTTTGTGTTAGAATGTTTCAATTAAACACTTTTAAGTGATTTTTACTGACACTGACTTGTGAATGTTCATAACCATCACCATTATCATCATCCTCAGTCAGTCACTCAGTAGTACTCTGGAAGGAAAAAATGCACATCTTGGTACATTTCAGTGCGGTTCTCGCAGTTCGAGGTGCTGGCCACCGGCAGGACAACTTTTAGGTTGTCAAAACGGGCCTTTAGCTGGGCGTGATGGCACTCGAGCACCTGCTTAAACTGCCCGGTAATTCGCGTCTGGTGACAGCCGACGGCAACGGTGGTCAGCGGAATCGAGGATTCGGCGGCTCGGTTCACAATGAATCCGCACTCGGTAGAGCAAATGGGACAAGTTTCAGTGCCACGGTAGGCGATGTACTCATCGGTGCAGAGGTGGCACATGATAGCAGAGTGTTTTGAATGCAAAATGCAAAGTAAAAGGCAAAAAATCGAACAATGAAAATGATGTTTTCTGATTTTAAAGTAGCTGACATACACCGCAATACAAAAACTAAGTAGTTGGCAAGTTTATTAAAACGATGAAAGTAATAGAAAGAAAAACTGGTATTTTTTTAGAGTGCTCAAACAGTTTATAAAGTTTATAAGCAGTGCTCAAGTGTCTTTGAAAACAGAGCATCACAAAAACACAGTTGTGCGAGTATGCGTAGATGCACTTTGGAAACCGCCCGACACCGTTTGGTGGTAACAATAATACCAACTCCCAGTGATGGGTTTCCAAGTGAAAAGAACGTCTCTATTTTATCCTCTCTTTTCTATCTCTTTCTTTCTCTTTCTGTGTTTTGACTGTTGACCTTTCGCCTTTTCTCTCCTCTCTTCGCTCATTCTTTTTTTACCCAAACACCAACAGATCACTGCAAACACACCACAAACTAGTTTTCACTCGCAACGGCGTCGGCGTCGGTTGCGACAGGATTATGATGATCATCTGGTGCATTCAACCAACAGACTGCTGCACACTTTTCTTGGGCACTTGTTATTCAGAAGAAGCTGAATTTGCCAAGTTGCGTGAAGAGCGCAGCAACTTAAGAATATGATAGCCATACTAGTCAAAGAATTTGCAACTCGCGTAAGAAAGATAACTTACAGCTGGCCACCAGCTTGTCACATGTGTGTACCTCCAAAACCAGCCAACACCAGCAACTTTGCTAACTAAATACCCTGAAAGTATTTGCATCAGCTCATCTAACTGTTCTAACTTGACTATATAAAAGCGTAATTTCCAAAAACAATCACACCATCTTGTGTCCCCGCCATATTTGAACCAGGTCTCTCTCTCTCTCTCTCTCTCTCTCTCTCTCTCTCTCTCTCTCTCTCTCTCTCTCTCTCTCTCTCNAAAGGTGGCCACTGAAAGAAAGCGAAAGCAATAGATGTGCTCAAACAACAGATAAAAGTGGGAGAGAGAAGGAGAGAAACAGTGTGTCAGTTTAAAGGAACGCACACATGCACACACACGTACACTGATAAAGATATGCTTGGGCACTGCTACTGCCCACCAGCATGGGCAAGGCTGCCCTCCAGAGAGCGCGAAACAGTCAACGTGCCTGCCTGCCAGCCATGGCGCAGTGGGGAGCCAAAATAGCCCCCGCCAGGCACTTCTCGTTTCTTCTGCCGCCGCCACTGACGACGGCCTAACGACAGCCCAAGACAGCCCTGTTGTTGTCAGGAGAGAGAGGGCGCTTGAAGACTTCGGGAGAGAGTGGAGTCGCCACCGCCGCCGCCGCTGCTTCTGTTTCTACTGCCTCTGAGCAGGAAGTGCTGAGCAACTAGGAGCCAGAGGAAGGAATTGCCACCGTCACCATTTACTTTCTTTCCAGCCAACAGCACACTGACGTTTTGTCCTGACTCTTCGGTAAGTGGTCTTTTGAGGTTCATACTTTCTCCTCCCCCTCTTCCTCCTTCTCGTTCCCATCAGATCATCAGGTCACTATCGTCCCAACAAGTCCCTGCTGCTGCTGCTGCTGCTGTTTTGTTCTGTTCTGTTCAGTAGCAGTGCTAGTAGTTTGCTAGTTCAGTTGGCAGCTCATTAGTTGTCTAGGCACATACAATCTGCACGCTAACCAGACAACGCCGTCTTTCTCCACTCTTTCACTCTTTCCTTTTTCTGCCACAGCAGCAGAGAGCGCGTTCGCTCTTTGTCATTTTTCACAGAACCCTCACTCACTCACTTACTCACTCACTCGCCCGGACAACCATCGTAGCTGCGAGGAGCTGAAGTAGGGGCTGCAGAGACCGTAACCTGGACAGCGACACCACACAGCCCGCAAAGTGAAGAAACAAAGTGACTATTACTGTTATTGAGATTTTAGGATATCCTAAAAACTAGAGCAAAGATGGCACGGAAAGCGAAACGCATCGGCATGCCCCGGAAGACCCGCTTTCGGCCGTTCAAGCTGCCGCAACGGCCGCGCAGCTCTCGCTACTACAACATGACCAACGATCCGACGGTGCCACGCTACAGAGCCTGCAACCTCATACAGACTGACTGTAAGTAGCTGCCTTCCTTCTTTTGATACACCTGTCAGTTGTCCACCCAAAAGTGACGACCAAGTCCAAAAGAGATCCAATCCAATTCTATTCTACTCTCTAACTCCTCATCACCCCTTAACCACCACCTAATCGTCACCTCCTTTTTTGCCCCCCCCCCCTTTTCCCACCCAGTACCGAAGGAGATGCAGTGCAAGAGCCGGGCGGCTTTCGCCTTCCGCATCAAGGCGTCCTTCTGCACGCCCAACTACCTGTACGCCTTCTACTACGTCGCCTACGACACCCGCATGCAGCTCGCCCGTTTCTGCCTGTACAGCTACACCTGGCAGCGGATTCGCTCTTTCAACAAGGCCATTCCCGACCGCTGCGGCTTCATTCCCCTTGCCCTGCCTTGGAGCGAGAACCACCGCGAGGTGCTGCTTTTCTGGCCCAGCCACTGCTCGCTGCTCACCCTCGGGCCGCCCAGCACCCGGGAGAGCTCCCTGCCGCTGCACACCACCGTCCGCGACCTGGACCTCATCTCGATGCTCGCCCTGCCCGACCCCGACGAGATGGTGGTGAACATCGAGATGGCCATCTACATCAGCTGGCAGGCCGTCACGGTGGACCGGGAGCGGCAGGCGGTCTACGCCCTGCTGGAGATCAGCCTGGGCGCCTACAACAACCGCGACCTGGCCGTCTTCCGCCTGGACTGGCCGACCCGTCTCTGGACCCGTCTGTCGCTGGTGGAGAAGCCGGACACGCCGCTTGCCCTCGGCGACTTTGTCGCTTACCACGACGACCACCTCTACATTGGCATGGTCAGCAAGGACGACATGCCGGCCGTCTTTCCGACCTGGACGGTCGATGAGGCGTACATTCTCACCACGGTGGTAAGTGCCAAAAGAAAGAAAGAGAAAAGTAGAAAGAAAAAGAATGAGTGGCAAAAAGATGGAGCAGTTTTCTTTGGTTTATGTTTTTCTAACTAACCCTTTTTCCCAACCGTCCCACCCCATCCCATCCCATCCCATCCTATCCCATTCCACTTTCACTCCTCCACAGCAATGCATCGACCTCAAGACGAAGGTCCTCACGTACCGCACCCCATTGAACCGCCCCCACAAAACCATCTACAACCGCCAGTCGAACCTGCAGTTCGCCCAAGTAGGAGACATTGTCTACATCCTCTCCGCTGTCTACGGCCCCTACCAGCTAGATCACAGGCTGGCGATGGTGAAAAACCAGCTCTGGTCAATGAAGCTGCCCACGTTGAAGATGAAGCAGATCAACGACGGGCCGCAAGGCGTCCTGCCCAAGCTGCCGCCCTGTCTCATCATGCCCGACCGCTGCGGCCGCCCACCGAAGGAGGTGCCCTACGCCTACAACAACTCGCCGCGCATCCTCCTCCGCCAGTACAACCTGGTGGCCAGCTACGACGGCCACGACCTGTACGCCCTCTCCCTGGAGCGCCTCTTCGCCGACCACCTCCCGATGATCATTCGCATGATTCGCTGTTACCTGGGCCCGGAGATTCCTTCGCTCGCCTCCATGGCCCTCCACCAGATGCTGGTCCGCAAGCCGATTCAGGGCGTCGTCGAGCAGCAGACAACGGTCGTCGAGCAGCAGACAACGGTCGTCGACAACCAAAACAATTCTCGGAACAGCCTGGTCATCCGCCACCGCTTCAACCGCCAACAGCGGACGATGCCCTACCTGCGCAACTTTGTGGCGAACAGCCAGCTGAAGGCAGTCGCCGGCCGCTACCTCCCGCAGGAGGAGTACTGGCCGCCCAGAGCAGAAGGCGAACCGGAACCGGAAGAACAGGCGGATGAGCCGCGACAGCCGTGGGAGGAGGAGGTGGTAGAGGACAATGAGGAGGACGATGACGACGATGTGGAGGTGCCAAGGGCAAGGCCGCGGTTGCGGCAGTACGGCGATTTTCCCGATGTGATGCTACGGCCGGGGCCGCAACAACAGCCTCAGCTAGTGGAGGTCTTCCGGCAACGGCGCGAAGAGGTGTTCGAAGAAGTGCCCGAAGATGTGCCCGAAGAGGAGTCCGAAGGAAGGTCTGAAGAGGAGTACGAAGGAAGGTCCGATGAGGAGTCTGGTGGAAGGTCTGAAGAGGAGTCAGAAAGAAGTTCTGATGAGGAATCCGAAGAGGAGTCTGAAAGAAGGTCTGAAGAAGAGTCTGAAGGAAGGTCTGAAGAAGAGTCTGAAGGAAGGTCAGAAGAGGAGTCCGAAGAAAGTTCTGATGACGAGTCAGAAGGAAGGTCCAATGAGGAGTCCGTAAGAATGTCTGATGAGGAGTCCGTAAGAAGATCTGATGAGGAGTTCGAAAGAAGATCCGATGAGGAGTTCGAAAGAAGGTCCGATGAGGAGTTCGAAAGAAGGTCTGAAGAGGCTTCTGAAGAAAGGTCTGAAGAGGAGTCCGAAGAAGAGGAACGGGAGCGGCAACAGCCGAGAGAAGGGTCCCCTGGGTTGCGGGAGGCGTTGATGGCTCTTGCGAGCGATATAGAAGAGGGGCGCCAGGGGAACCGTGCCCTCCAGTGGCGGCGGGAGGAGGAGGAAGAAGAAGAAGAGGAGCGGCGGCAGCAGCAACGTCGGCGGCAGCGGCGGCGACAACGGAACCGTTCTCCTTCTGTTGATTCCAGTGATGATAGCATTGGGGGGTGGAATCGATCTACCGAGGAAAGTAGTGACACTGACGAGCGGAACTACACTAGGAATCAGAGGACTCGGGCAAATCGGTCAAATCGGGCAAGTCGGACGAATCGAGCGGTTCGGGCGCCTCGAACATCTTCGGCACGACAGGCGGCTCCGACAGCTTCTTCGACTATGGCGCTTCGACGTTCTTCCCGTCAACGTAGGACAATTGTTGGCTGAAGTCTCATGATCCTTGCTCTTTTTCTTTGTTTTTTCTTCTTCTTCTTCAATGAGACTCCTCGCCTTTAAGAACAGTTACCTTTTAAATTGAAAATTAGAGTGCTTAGAGGAAAAATGGACTTTATTTTCTTCTTTCACTTTTTTGCCCACTCATTTAATCACTTACTAGCTAACTCACTTACTCACTCTTTCAGTCATGCACATTTAATACCTGATGTCACACACTACCACTAACAATGCACTCAACCCCCTATTCACAACACGAAAACAAACGAGCACAGACAAAGTTCTACGTTCAACACGTTAAGAATTCTTTTTTTTGCATTTCCTCCTTCACACAATGTTATGTTACATATACAGATGATTTATCTCATGATTATTTGAACTTAACTCACCGGTGGGCACACTCACAAGCTCACATTTTAAATTATTTTTCTTTTTCTTTTTAACTCACACACTGATTACACTATTTTCACATACCAAGTTTAGGATTTCCTTTCACTAATTGCCAGTAAACTTTAGAATGCTTTAGCTGCATGTGAATATACTCTGCTGTGAAGTAAAATTGTTGCAACAGTACAACGACTTTAGTAGATCTTGGTAACCTGATTCTAATTTTTTCTTTTCTTCCAATCTAATGTTGTTTGTCTGTTTTGTTAATCCGTTTATTTCTTTTTCCAATTTTCCTTTTTTTTCTTTTTCCTTATTATCCAATTTCTAATTCAATCATCTAAAAACTTTGATAAACTTAAATATCTTTCACCTGTTAACTAGACTGATGATGATTACGATTGTTTTTGCTTGACTAACTAGACGGTTTGACTACCTGATACCTGATACCTGATTTGTCCTACCTACCCTCCTTTGTAAAAGTTCCTGATTTTAGTACAAATATAATAAATAAAAAAAAACAAAATCTTTTATTTTTAAAAAGTGTTGCTAATTTGTGATTACTGGGAAGCTCGGTTTTTTATCCATTTTCATTGTCTTTTGCACGATGTGGTTGTTTTTTGTTGTTCCCACTACGATTTGGTCAAACATGTCTTCTTTTTACCAAGAAAAGTGCTGCAAAGTAGTGGGCCCTGTGTGTCACGTACCTTTTGGACGGCATTGCTGGTTTGCTGCCACTATATGCACATCATCAGTCAAAAGCGCTCAAAAATCATCACAGGAAAAAGAAGCAGCCTGAGTAAACAAAACGCTGCAACTGTTGCGCTAAGCTGCACAAAAGAACTTCAAATCTGTCTCAACTTCAACATTAAAGCTATCAAGGAACCACCCCCCCCCCATCATCATCATGTCTGACGTCTCCATCAACGATGCACCCTCCTTCTCCTCATCAGCAGCGAGATCCACAGAAACTCCCGAACTGGCGGGCATACCCGCCCTTCCACAAGTCGAAATCGCCCGATACCTGACCGAGCTGACTGACCATCTGACACTGCAGCAGTCTGGCAGCCACTGCTTGCGGCAAGCCAGCTTTGAGGCGTTGGCCACAAAGAAACGACAGCTTACCCTCTGGGTGAACTACCCACTGGGTGGTGATAACATGCCAGCAAACAGAGTGCCCCGAGCTCCTCATGACTGCAAAACAGTGCAGTTCTGGAGTTCAGCGATGAAACGAGTGCTGCAGCGGCAGCTGAAAGAGGAAAAGAAGGACGAGGAAAAGAACTCTTCTAAAGCGCTCTCTATTTCGCCTTTTTGGGCGGATTCGGTGACCGGCGAGGTGCCCACATCTGACAGTGACTACCCGCGGCCAAATAGTTATCTATCGTTATTCAGCACCTTCATTACCGATAGAGAGCAGAAGGCAAGGGAGGCAGCAGCAGTTAAATGGCGAGCTCTGCTGGACCGCCCTCTGCGTGGGACTCTTCCCTGGCGGATGAGACTTCCGCAGCGAATGGCCGCACTGGAGCGACTGGAGTTGCTGGTGACCAGACACATCACCGGAGTGGCCACTGCCGGAGCGCTCATTCGACACTTTTTTTCTCCTCCTTCTCATTAGATTCCTCCTCATCCGATTCCTCTTCACCCGATTCCTCCTCATCCGATTCCTCCTCTTCTGAAACTTCCCGAAACAATTCCACCATTCACTCACCACCAGTCAGCGTCCACTTCTGTGCCCTTCGAGTAGACGACAGTTATAGCCTGGCCGAGCTTTTCTTTAGTTTGTTTGAGGCGTTTGGAGAGCGCCCGGAGCCTTTTTCTTCCCCATTCCCCTCCCCATTCCCCTCTTTTCGTGTGCTGAAAACACTGAGCATCTTTTTTCGGATCCCTAGATTTGATAGGTACTATAACCACAGCGATGTGGCAAAAAACCTGAAGATCGTTCTCGAGATGGCGTCGGCCCGGTTGGCCGACGTTGAGGAGTTGTTGCTGGGCGGCATTCTCTTCAATGCGTTGTCGCTTCTGCTGGGCAGTCACAGTTTTCCCGCCCTCCGCCGACTGGGACTGGTGCTGGAGAGTGAGGAACAGATTACCGAACAGGCGCTGGCTGGCTACTTTGAGAAGATGTCTGTTGAACGTCGCCAAATGATCACCCACCTCTCGGTGTACACCTATGACAGCCTGAAGGAGTACCACAATGGGGAGTTGAAGAAGGAGGAGGAGAGGATGAAGCAGTTTCACGAACAGGAAAAAATGGAAAAGAAGGAAGTGGTCTTATCCATCCCCTCGGACAGCATCATCGCTCTGATGGGCTACATCAAGCGGGAGTTTCCCTCTGTCATTCGTTTCAACGGACAGCCCATTTAAACAAAATAGTAGTGATAACACTGGTGAGTTTTTAGTTTTTCATTTATTAGTTTTTAAACAACGATTTTTTTAATTCACGCAGGTGCCATTGGATACTTTTGATAATTGTTGCAAGTTCACACCCCGGTCACAGTCATTTTTCTTATTCTTTCCCTTCTTTTCTTTTAGAGTTCTATTTTTGTTCCATTAGTGACAACCTCACCCTGTCACTTGCCCACTAGTGGCCACCTCATGTCTATCACTTGCCCGTTTGTGGCCATGGTTCTTCCGTTTCGCCGGAGCATATGCTCTTAAGGCAAGCCTCAGCAGCCCAGTCTTCAGTCGTGTGCTGAGCGCTTTCTTTGTCACACCGTATCAATAAACCCCTTATCTTGCCGTCACCAAGCCACCCTTTCTTACCTTCTCTCTCGTTTCAACCGCGCCCAAGCCGCTGGACCTACCCACGCCCAGTTAAACCCGCGAGACCCAACTGAAGCCGTTCATCTGTAATCCCAAACCTCGGTGACAAAGCCCTTTTCAACTTTGCTACTCTCACCCCCCCCCCCCCCCCCCNACAACGATAATCAAGGTTTTGGATTTGCAACATTTGCACATTAAAATAATTGTACTGTGGTACTCTGCACTTAATCATCACAATTTTAGCCTATCGATTCAAACTTTCCTTTATATTCACTTTCAATTACACTCATGTTCACTCAACTCACCTACCTTTCTCAGACAGCTAGCTAGATATCTAAAGTTAGCTATTTTTGTATGTAAGCCCAGCTCATATAAACACACATTGTCTGTCATTCTCTCCCAATTAAATCACAAAGTTAAAATTTTATTTAACCAAACACTATCGTTGGCACCACAGTAAAAAAAACTTTTTAATAATATGTTCAATTGGTAGTGATTCTGTTGCAAATGCTTTACTGGTTGTGTTTTATAACAAACTGTTTCATGATTTTTCAACAAATCTGTTCATTTTTAGGTTACTTTTGCTAACTTAAAAAGTTGTTTGAAAGTGAGAAAAATTCCCACATCAGAAAAGTATGCCAGCAAAATATTGGCACGCCGAGCCTATGAGTGGACCTATTGTTGCAATGTCATTAGAAAGTAATGACGAGTTAAAGTGATGGGTTACTGTTGCTCCTGTTGCGCTTAACCTTACCAGTGGGGGGTCAAAAAGTAGAGATCAAGCGAGTCTGCGACGCAGTATCAGGCTAAAAAGTGACGAGTGAACAAATGACAGACTACTACCGACTAAAGGTGGATAAAACTGAATAGCTGATTGATGACGCAGAAAAATGCGTGACCAGCAGTGGATGCACTGACAAGATAATCGGCTGCTGAAAGCAACAATGCTAGAGAAAAGTTTGCTGTTTATTTTTTGCCTTTTTTGCCCTTAAACTCCTTTCAAATTGTTTTAAATCATGAACATATTTTGTGACACTTTAAAGTCTCAAATTTCCATCACATGAGTGTGTGTGTTTTTGGTAAACTTTACATAAAACATTCACAACAGCTAAACAAACGCAAGTTTCAAGTTTTCACTACCTAGCATTCACCACTTTTCTAATCACCACAAAAAAGCAGAAGTCAGTTTTTAAAAGTGTTGCCCTATTTACCTAATCACTAAAAAAGCAAAGATTATGACAGACTTATACGACAGCCCTTATGGATAAAAATCGCTTTAACAAAATGGGAAGCTTAAAGCTGCTAAAAGCTGTTTTTCAACACGACAATCCTTTCACTGAGGTTCTGAAGAAGATTTTCACCCAGCCGTTGGCCACCATCACCACCACTACGCCCACCACCACCACCACCAGCAACCGCCGGCCCCTAGAACCGAGGATTGCCATGATGATCAGCACTGATGACTACGGCCTACTCCTCACCATCACCCTCGACTACCTAGACCGGCTGAAGGAGAAGATCGACTTTGTCGTGACAGTGGAAAACTTCCACATTATACGATCAGTGGCCCGCTCTCCAACGAATGAACGGCCCACCATCCGCCTGACGCCCGTCTTCATTTGTCCATCTGCTAGTGTCCAGCTCGACAGCGAAATGCCGGTGCCCTTTCACGAACGGCTGCTGCAATTTGAGGTGCACTCCAACCTGGGACGGGGAATCCTTCCCTTGTCAGAGCTCTTTTTCATTCAACAACGCCACAAGCTGTCTTACGACGAGGCGAGCATCACCTGCGTTCAGCAACTTGAACCTTCCTGTTCCGGTTTTCCTCTTGACAATAGTGGTTCGGTGATTCGCATCATCACTAGCCGCTTTCCGCCAGTGTACGGCCCTAAAGAGCTGGCCGCCATTGCTGCAGCTCTCTTTCAAAAAGACGACAACCCAGATGATGAGTGTTCTGAGCCGATGAAAACCTTCCTTGCCGGCCTGGTCAGCGTCAACTTCGGCCACCTACAGAGCGGCATCAGCATCACCACCAACTACCTGGGCAGCCGATTTGTGGTGAAGGTGGACAGCTATTCCCTCCTTTACGGGAGCCATCTGGGCGACGTGCATACGCTAATCACAGAGAACTTTGACCACCTCGCCTTTGATGGCTCCTCCCTGCAGGAGCAGGAAAGACTGGAAAAAGTGGATCTGCCCAGCATTGGCAGCAGCCCCACCAGCAGCATTCGAGGCAACAACATCTTCTTTGTGAACACTCGCCGCTCGCCGGGCGACGCCAGTCTGGTGCCCTTTTCCCGGCGACAGGTGCGTGTTAAGCTGGCCGCCAGTGTGCTTGAGGGCCGCAGGCGGCCGAGATCTGCTGAGCAGTGCAATGACCAGCGGAAGGTTACTCTGCTTAATGGGAAGTGCCTCACACTGCCGCCCGGCGTCAACGTCCTCTGCCCGCCTAAAGAGCCCTCGGTGCTTTGGATTGTAGGCGACCGGGAGGCGGCGGCTTTGTGGCGCAAAACCAATGGCTAGTTGGGCCCGGGGCAAATAGTTTTGTGTGTAAGTGTGTGGAGACATCTAGAGCTTCAAACGTCGAACTACTAATTTGAATATGACCATTTGATGTTTTTATCTCAACTCTTACTGTTGTTTGTATGTATTTTCATTTCTAAATCCAGAATAAACTTTTCTTCAAATTCAAATTTTTTTGGGAACTTGTCCCCTCTTTGAGCAACAGTTGTTCCCAGTTAAACTCGATTGCCTCAACGTGGCTCACACAAAATCGCACGCACACACACACACACACCACAGGGACCTTACTATGGCGAGGGAAGGACTTCTCTGGAGAGAGTCACACTAGTGTGACTAGTGTGAGCAGTTGCAGTGGTGGCAGTGGTAGTGGTGGTGGTGGTGGTGGTGGGCCCAGCAGCACAGGTGCAAAACACGTGTGTGTGTGTGTGTGTCACAAAGAGCGCTAGGCAGTGGCTAGGCACATGCACATGCACCCGGACACATGCACACATTTTTGTCCCTTTCCCTCGCATTCAGCGGTTAGAGCGAAAGCTGAGAACTAAACGCCTTTTGTTGTTAGATTCCACGCGCTTGATCTAACAAATTTCACAAATTTCTAGCAAATTCCTTTGTTCGGACAAAAGATCTTCTTTATCTATCAACAGCTAGTCCATCACCAGCATCGACAGTAATGGACACCAGCAGCAACACCAGCAGCACCTCAACCGCCACCGGCAACAACAACAACAACGACGACAACACCACTAGTAGCAGCAACAGCAGCAGCAGCAGTGAGAACAGCAACGACAGCTCGGCCATCACCGTGGACAGCAGTAATCCGTTGAACTGGAGCTGTGCTAGCTGCACCTTCTCCAATGAGCCGTCCGCTTACCGGTGTGCCGTTTGCAATGGCGCCCGCACCTCGTCCGGCCGTCGAAGCACACTCTCTCGAAGCGCCATGATGCGTGCTGCCGAACAGGAGCAACTCAACATCGAGACGGCGGTCAACAAGACGAAGAAGAACAAAAAGGGCAAAAAGCAGAAAGTGAACAACAAAGAAGTGAAAGGGACGGGGAAATCACGGAAGAGCACTTTGAATCGTTTGGAGACTTCTTCTGGCGCAATTCGACCCTCGACCAGCACTGGTGTTGAATCTCCGCTGCCCGGTACTGCTGCCCAGTGTGCTAATCATGTGCAAGCTTCAAAACGTAGCAGCAAGAAGGAAACACCAAAGTTGGTTACCAAAACTTCCGTTTCCAGGAGCACTAGCAAAAAGCGAAGTTTTTCAGTTGTTAAAACTGAGGACGATGTTGATCAGCTGCCGCCTCCGCCGTCTGCTTCGCCAACTGCCACTGCATCCTCCACCGTCACCGCCGTTGTCGTTAAATCAGAAAAAAAGGTAAAAAAGGTGAAAAAGGAGATAAAAAAGGAAGAAGAGATAAAAAAGGAAGATATCAATCAGGAGATTAAAAAGGAAGAGGAAGAGGAGAAACCGCTTACCAAACGCCGTGGTCGTCCACCAAAAAATCTGCAGAAAAACAACAACAACAGCAACAGCAGCCACAACATTAGCAGCAGCAGCAGCAGCAGCAAAAAAGTCGTCGCAACAAAGAGCGTTCCAATTCAAACTGAACCTCAAGGCGCGAACTACTCGAGACCTACTGTGAACAATCGCAGCAGAAATGCAGTCAGCAATCCGGCGCTCAGGGCCACCTTCAACAATGTGGATCGATCGAGGAAGATTGAAACGATGGTCACCGTTCATGGAGTTTCACTCAACATTACTGAATTCACGCACACTCTCACTGGACCGGTCAATAAGCCGGTGGTGGCTGGGGTGGTCAAAAAAGAAGAGTATTCTGATTGACTGCTTTAAACAAAAAATGAAAAATGTTGTTTGACATTATCAATTTTTCTGCACTAAACTGCTTTTCTTATGACAAATATCTCACAATTTCAGTAAACGACACAGATTTTATGATAATGGTGGTTACAGAATAAAATGGGTTTAACTCAAATTGGCTTGTAAATATTTAAAACTCAAAGCACAGTGTGTGTAAAGCAGTGTAAAGTAAAAAGAAAGTGTAAAATTATGGCAAACAGAAAAGATCACTTGAGTGCAAAGGCAAGTAAACAGAAAGAAAACTACAAGAATCAATGTGCAGTTGTGTTTGTTTGTGTTTGTGTGTGTGTGTGTTTATCTTGCCAGAAGAGTATTTCAAGTTGAATCAGTTAAAGTAGATAATGAAGTGATATAAAAAGATAAAGAGATCCGCTGAGCAGTGATAAAGAGTGCCAAAAGCAGTTTGTTTGTCGTTGTTTGCATTTTTAGTCCAAATGTATTAAAAACTACAAAAACAAAACACAATAGTTATATGAGAATTCAAAACAAAAAAACTTTTATGATAATGTTTTAACTCACCCTAGCTTTGCTCCATGGGCTCATCCTGGACATTCTCCGCTGATGAGGACTGCGACATTGCCATTTCCGACTCTCCACTCGACTTTTCAGCAGTGCTCTCCGCTGCTGAAGAACCGCTGGTGGTGGTGTTTGTCGTGGTGGTGGTCTTTTCCTCGCTAGCTGAATCAGCCGTGTCAACCTTATTATCCTCCTTCTCACTTTGACGCAACACTGCCGAGCCCTCACTTTGGTCATCATTTGACGTAGAGGCGGAAACGGAAGCTAAAGCCAGGCTTGATACTGCGAGCTTGGTTGCCGACTTTGCCGACTTTTTCGACCTTTTCGCCTTCTTAGCCTTGGCCGCCGCCTTTGCAGCCGCTTTCTCCTCCGCCGCCTTTCGCGCAGCCTCCTCCTCCTCCAGACGGTCCTGCTCGCGGAAGAGGGCCGGCGTTCCGGGGGCGTTGCTGAGCGCGTACTTCATCATGGCGACGTTGGAGGCCATGCGGGCCGCCTCCGCCGCCCGCTCCGCCGCCTTCGCCTCCGCAGTGGCTGCCTCTTCCTCCGCATCCTTCCTCTGCTGCTCCTCAAAGGCGGCCGCCAGTGCGGGGTGGGGTGGCGCCTCGGGGCCGTGCGCCTTGCCAATGCTGTACAGCTGAATGAAGCCGCCCTCCATCACCGTCACCAGCGCCGTGCCCTGGCGATTGATGGCGCACTCGCGCACCGGCCGCCGTACGGTGCCGCCGTAGCGCGGCCCGGCAACTGCCGGCGCCGGCAGCACCTCGCCGACGATCGCCTGCGGCCCCCGCCCGCCGAGGTCCCAGAGCCAGGCGTCGCCGTCGTCGTCGCCCACCGCCATCATCTTCCCCTCCACGCAGAGGCCGAACTTGACGAAGAACATGTCCGTCGTCTCAAAGTCAAAGGCGTGCACCAGGGAGATGTTCGAACGGGTCTTGTAGTTCTCATTGCGGTTCGGCTGGCGGATGATGAACTTGCGCGTCGCATCAAGGAGGTCAATCGGCTCGCCGTCCTCGTTGGCCACTCGCCACATCTTCATCGTCTGGTCACAGCTTCGCGTGATGAGGTAGTCGCCGAAGAAGCGGACACAGTCGACGTAGTGCGAATGCGGGTGGTGCGTCTCGTAGTTGGGCACCTGAATGACGGGCGGCCAGAACTTGGTGGGCGGGTCGCCCGCCACCGGTCGCTGGACGCTTCTCGCCAGCGCCCTCTCCATGTCCTCGGTGTCATATCGCCAGAGCATGATCTGCTTGTCCACCCCACTGCTGGCCACTATCTTCAGGCGGGCGTGCACGTCGAGGCTGAGCACGCCATCGCAGTGGCCCATCCACCCGCCGAAGACGGCCACGGTGCGCATGCTCAGCAGATTCCACATCCTCACCGTCCAGTCGGAGCTGGCGGTGAAGACCAGTTCGGGCGCCTTCGGGTCGACGGCGATGTCGTTGATTGCCTCGCCGTGGCCCTTCAGTCCGTCACCGCCCTTGTCGGGCGCCAGGCAGTGGAAGACTCGGAGGATGCCCTTCTGGCCGCCGGCGAGGATGTAGTGCTCCGGGTGGCCCGTTTTCGTGAAGCGGTTGTGGGTGAAGTTCACCGCAAAGAACCGCTCAGTGACGTCGTCCTGGAAGGTGAACAGCGCCTCGTACCCGAGCTTGGCGTCCTGGCGCATCTTTAGCTTTTCCCGCAAGGTGAGGTCATGTTGGGGCGGCCGGTGCACACGGTGCTCCGTCTCCTGGTCGTCGAGAACCCGATACACGGAGACCTTGTTCTCGCCTGCCACGGCGAATATGCTGAACGGCTCCTTGCCGATCCACTGGTTGAAGCGCACAGCGAAGCAGTTCTCGTGATAGGGCGACTTGTTCACACTGACCAGTTTGGTGGTGAAGGAAGGGGGCGGCTGAAATGGAAGATGTTCCTCTTCCTTTGAAGTTGTTGCCGATGATGAGGCTTTTTCCTCTGCAACCGTTTTCGCCGAGGGCAGCGGCTCGTCCGGAGCGGTCTCCAGGCCCTGGAAGTAGGCTTTGGCGTTGTCTCGCTGCACCTGCAGGTAAATCTCTCGGGCGGTGGTGTGTGATTTGCCTCTTGGAAGAGCCTTTTGGTCATCGTAAGTTGCGCCCATTTGCTGCTGAGCTGGTTGCTGAGATTTTTTATGCTGAACTGAAGTTGGTAGCTCTTCTTTAACAGCTGTCTTTCCCTTCTTTCCCTTCTTGTTGTTGCTATTCTTTTTAGCTTTTTCTTTTTCCAGCGCCGCTGCCGCCCTTTCCCTTGCCTGCCTCTCCCGCGCAGCAGCTTTTTCTTTGGCGGCAATTTGCGCCTGAATTCGGGCCTCCTTTTTGCTCTTTGAAACAGAAGAAGTTGTGGCCTCTGTGGGCGCCCTTAGAGGTGCCTCCGTGGGGAGGACCGGTCGTTTGCGCAGCTGTCGCCCTTCGAGGATGGTTCGAGCGATGCAGTCGAGCTTTTCCTGTGATGGACTGTCGCCGTCATCCTCCTTCTCCTCCTCGTTGTCGTCGTCATCATTTTCTTCCTCCTCCTCATTAGTGTAATGAGTAGTCCTTCTTCTCGAAGTTGAACTTGAACTTGAGGTGCTCAGTCCCTTTGAGGTGCTCGGTCTGCAGTCGGGCAGCCGCCGGGCGTTCGCCGCTTCCGCCTTCCTCTCTGCCAGCGTTCTCGTAGGTGGCGCCCCTGGCACCGGTCGTCCGAGGGGCTGCTTGGCCAGCAACACCGGCGAACTTTGCCGGCCATTGGCGTAGACGGCCACCACCTCAGCGCCGTCGGCCATCTTTCCAAACGAAGCTTTCAGGCCGCCGGGCCGATTTCCGGACAGGTACTTTCCGCCTCCGTTGGAGAGCACCTTGGAGCGGGTGAAGGGCACTTTAAACTGGTGTTCCGGTGGTTTAGCTGTTGTTGTTGTTGTTGGGTTGCCATTGGTTGCTGGTGGCGGCGGATGCAAATTTCCCTCTTGAAGAGCCGCTTTTGAGGTTGAGGGCCTGCAGTTGGAGGCGGCTGCCATCTCTTCGGCCAACTTTCGTCGGGCAGCCTGCTCTACCAGTGTTGGACGACCACGAGATCGAGGAGAGAGGATGACGGTTGGGGTTTCAGAAGAAGTTGAAGTTGAAGTTGAAGGTGTTGCGGCTGAAAAAAACTGAGCTAATAAAGAGGAAGATGGCTGATGTTGCTGCTGTTGATGTTCTCCAGTGCTACTCTCTTTAGAGTTGTCCTTCTTTTTGGAGCTTCCACTTCCACTCGAAGTTTTTGTTGTTTTAATTTGCATGTTTTCAGTGGCCGCCACTAGATCGTCAATTTCGCCTGTTTCAGTGGTTGCTGTTGCTGTTGAAGAAGTAGTGTTCATGGTAGAGGACTGTCGTCGAGTGACCGGTCTGCTGGGAACAACTGAAGAAGAAGAGGATGATAAAACTGAAGCAGTGGTAGCCTGTAGATCAGCCAGCAGCTCTATCTCCACCTCGACCACCTCCCGTTTCACCTGAACCGAAGTGATGCCTTTTGAGGAGTAGGTGGTGATGACGCGGTCGCCTAGTGATTTTGATCGAGTGGTGATGCCCCTCGGCTCGGGTATTATTGGTAATGGTAGTGCTGGTGATGGTGATGGGGATGGTGATGGGGATGGGGATGGGGATGGTAGCCTAGTGGTCCTAGAGCTGGTGGACTCCATTTGGCCTATGGCTCTAGAGGTGGAAACTGAAGTAGAGACGACTGGAGTTGTTGCAGTAGATGAGGTGGAGGGTTTTGAAGTTGTTGAAAGCGCTGAAGACTTTTTAGAACTTCCAGTTTTACTACTTGAGGTACTAGCTTTCTGAGTGAAACTAGGAGCTGGTGACTTGCTAGTTCCGGGGGCTACTGCTGCAGAAACTGCTGTAGAGCTAGAACTTTTAGATTTTCGAGTGGTGACTTTGAAGGAGGAGGAGGAAGAAAAAGAAGAAGAGGAAGAAGAGGAAGAAGAAGAAGCAACGGTTTTTTGCTTTTGATTGCCGTTTCCAAACTTTTTTATTGTACACCCGCCGCCGCCATTGCCTCTCTTAGATGGCAATCCACGAGGAATGCCGTATCGTGTCGGTTGCGGTTCACCATTGTAGAAATCACTGGCAGAGATGCCTGAAAAGGAAGAACTGCGAGTGTGCTTGGAGGGAGTTGATGGTGGTGGTGGTGATGGGCTAATATTCAAATCAGAGAAATCAGAGTCTTCCTCTACTACTACCACTTTTTTCTGCTGTTTTTTGCCTTGTTGGGGTGCCATTTTCTTTCTATTGGAAGCACTGCTTGTCACCTGTTTTACCGCTTCAATCAACTCATCCTCTTCAAGCTCAGATGCTTCGGCAGATGAAACTGAAGAAGAATTAGAAAAGTTGGAGGAGGAAGCGGCGGAAGAGGATGACGAAGACTGCTCCATTCGCTGTGGGTCAATTTGCCGTTCGACAATGTCCTCCTCCTCCTTCTTGACGAAACCTCCGTCCTCTTTGAGGATCACCCGTCCACTGCGAGAGAGACGAGCGTTGAGGTTGGCCGTCTTTGCCCGTTCAGCTCGAGCTCGCCTGGCCGCCTCAGAGGCAGCCTTGGCCTTGGCGATGCGCTTTGCTTTGGAGCTGGGCATGATTAAACGGCTGTGATGGTTGCTGCTGCTGCTGCTGCGGCTGCCGATGTAAACACTGTAAAGCAAAGTAAACAGATTCGTACATTAGAACAAAAATGACAAACTGTAAAACACGGGCTTTGTAAGTGATGATGATGACAGTGATGACAGCGCAAGAAGGTGCTAAGGAGAAGAGCAAAAGTGCTCTTTCTCTAAAGCATGTCACACAGTGTCAGCAAAGCAGTAATGATAATGATGATAGCAAACGCGGAGAATCAATTAATTGATACTTACCAGTAGACTTAAAGTGGCCGGCTGCTTCTCTGGAGCAGCTTTGTCAGTCAGGATTTTGTTGCGGTTGTCATCAGTGTACAGCAGTGTCAATGGCAGGCATCGGAAAAGAAGAAGAAGAAGAAGAAGAAGAAGAAGAAAAATTCAAACAGAATTTGTAGTCATCAAAAAAGTCTGTCAGTCCATGTCCCCAGCAGAAGAGCTGCAGAAGTGTGCCTGTGTGCCCGGCAGCAGACAAAGCCGCGTGCCAAACAGTGCTTGGCAGTGTCCAAAAAGCAGAAGCAGAAACAGCGGCAGTAGCACTAGCACTGCGCGGCAAATGTGCAACGGTGGACAGAGCACATTAGCCGCTGTTTCTGTGCTAACCGCCGCTGCTGCTGGTAGCGGCACTGTGGCAGGCAGTCAGGCTGCGAGCGTGTCCACAGTGGCCAGAGTAAGAGAAGAGAGAGAAAGAGAAAGTAATAAATACAATGTGTCGGCTGTCCAGTGCAATTTCCAGTGACTGTGACTGAGGCATTTCAAATATGGCTTGCATGGCTGGCATCTCATTGGTTGTAGTTTGGATGGTTAGATTAGCAAAGAGTTAAGCAGCCCAAAAAAAGAGGATAAGGATTAGGATCACCTTATTTCGAGTAGACAATTATTCGGAATTCTATCACCACTGTCTTAGCTTTTCCAAAGAAGAATTGATGAAAATTTGTTCCTCAACATAATGACTAAAACTAGCAGTTATATTCAGTATAATTAATTTAAAAATGGCAGTTGCACGTGCTGCGGAATTAGCTTGCTAGTGGACTCACAATTTGCATTTTTTGCAAAAATTTTTTTAAATTTTTAAAACTTTGTAGTTATTTGTGAAATGGGCAGCACGACACCCAAAAATTTTGCCCCTCAAACTGGCAACCGAATTTTTTTCCGCGCCAACTATATCAACGTTTTGGCTGCGTCGCAGGTGTCACAGTAGCGCCTGTTTACTTTTTAAGCGTGTTTCTCTCAAGCAAACGTGAGAAAAAGCGAGCTGTAAGAGTTTAACGTAAGTCACTTTTTCAGCAGTAAAACATACATTTTATTTGCCAACTGCTTTTGACACTTTAGAGACTTGTTTTGTGTACTTTCGTTCTTAGCAACTGGCAAAAACGACAAAATGGAGTCCATAAAGC